ATCAAGTCCTCTGCGCCCATTTCTGTACCAGAGTGGACAGATGTCGGTGCAAGCTGGGGCAATGTTTATGTTCTGAAGAAGGACAGCGAGCTCATGGCGTGGGGAAGAGACGACCACGGACAGCTCCCGCCGCCGAGCCTACCCAAGTTATCAAAGATTGCCATTGGCAGCGAACATGTCATTGCTTTCACAGAGACGGGCGATGTGCTCGCTTGGGGATGGGGAGAGCACGGCAATTGCGGCCCGCAAGTTGAGAACAACGATGTCAAGGGACGGTGGAATGTCATTGCGTCGTCAAGATTTATTCCTCCTGGTTCTAAAATTGCGGGTATCGGCGCAGGCTGCGCGACTAGCTGGGTGACTATCATCACCGGTTGACAAATGGCGCAGACATGGTTCTGCCGGCTGAGGGCTATTCGAAGTCGGCACGGCAGCAACACCATCACACTGCCATCCATTCAAATAGATCATGGGCCTTGGTAGAATAAGCCCAGGCGCCTAACATCATCAAGGCGCTGTGTGGGCTCCAATCCTGCGCTACTGGCTGGAGTCGGGTCGAATTCGGCATTCTCTTCAGCGATTTTGCGGTCAAGGTGCATGGAAGAAGCGGTCTGAAGAGACATGTGGGTTAAGATCATGGTCCTAGGTAGATCGATCGGGCCAGAGAGACTTACGGGCTGATTACTATGATCCCACCCAAGTCTTGCATCCAAGTCTGGATCATCGTCCTCTTCGTACCTGACGGGCTCCCACGCCTGTTCGTCTTGGTCGTCCACAAACAGGCTTTGGGAAGCCATGGTTGCGGGAGGCGGTCGCTGTGATGGCCGCAAATCGAACAGTGAAGTGCGCGCGGCGACTCCACTCCGTGATACAGACGCCGACAGCGCTGGAGGCGGCATACTCTGCGCGGGTGGTTGCTCCTGGGGCTGCGGGGTCTCAGACGGCGCGGCACTCTGTCTTCTAGACGCGGCTTCGAGCTGTTGCTGCGGAGCCGCCTGGGCGCCCTTCGCCTTACCTTTCTTCGTCTTCTGGGCCGGGTTACCCTTCTCGCCGACCGTCATGAGCAGAAACTCGCAACTCATGCCGTCGCCGGGATAAGTGAACAGTATCGGACGCGCCGGATTAGAGTATCGAGCGGAGATGTGGTTGCCGGTGATGCCAGCGTGCTGGATAATGGCGCGGAAGTCCTTGACGCTGATAACGATGCGGAGCTTATCCTCGACTTCTATGTCTTCGAATTCGTCGACCTCAATGGCGATTGATGTGTGTAGTGGTTTCTTGAGAACCTCTGCATCTGATGTTAGTATACATAGACACATCCAAGGAGTTTTGGAGCCAACCGTCTCCATTTGTCGTCTTCTCTGTGTAGCATGTGAAGTTAACATGTTCGCCATCTGAGTTAATATCCAGAAGCTCGACTCCAGGACCAAAATGTTCCATCAGTTGCCTCAAAGTCCGCGACGGGATGGTCCAATGATGGATCGCTTCATCTCGGTCGAATTTGGCGTGCACTGGCACCGCAACCTCGAACGGCAGTCGATGTGTAGATGTGACACCTGAATCACTGATCAGTTACTTCTATGTCGTGCTGATCCAGGTTGATAAGCATACCATTCCGGAAAACTAGCTTCACGATGAAGCGACTCTTGACACCTGGTCCATCTTCAATAGCGACATCACAACGATCAATCGTGCTCTCCTTCTCGCGATCACGCTGAGGATCGCCACCTGCACGGCTTCGGAAGATGGAGGCGAGTGACTGTAGAACAATGAGTCTCTGGCAATATATATGTCAAAATTCCAGTGAGAATCATACCCTGGTATACAGCGTGCAGTAGAACTTGTCCCGGTACTGCGCACTTCCCTCGAACTGGTAGCGGGAGCAGAAGCGATTGGTGGTGAATGTGAAGCAGGAGTATGCCGACTTAGATGCATTGAGTGCTGTGAGGACCAACTACATGCAATTCGGTCAATATGCATGTTTGTCGTTTGCAGTGCTTGGACAATAGGTGACTGACCTTGTCCTTCTTGGCTTCTAGGGAGACCTCGTCACTGAACTTGTTCAGGCAGGCGAGTACGTCGCGAAAGGCAGCGACAGCGTCCTCGCTGAGCGTGAAGTTGAGGATAGCCATCGTGTCACCGCAGAAGTCTGGATTGAAGTTATAATATCATTGAAGCTTAGTCACAGATGTCAGGAAGTTCGATGTTAGTTCACTGCGTTAGGTTTGCTTCAATGTGAGAGGGGCGGTCGTCATAGGCGAAGCGCGTCAGGGCGCGTAAAGTGGTCGTGGGGTACTCAGGTACTGCGGGGCGGCTCTAAGAACGTAACTTCCCCAGAAATTCGAACGAAGCAGGTGCGCCTCATAGCTCCTGCGCCTTGACTCAACCTCACCTCATATTTCATCTCGATTTACTATAAACTCATGATTTATTCATCTACCAACTTACTCCAGCTATCAGAATTACTTCTCCGGCTATGACTTAGAGAAAACTCCTCCAAGCAATAGGCAGACCCGTGCTATGCATCAAGCCTGACCACGGCGCGTACGGCCCTGAGCCTCTAAGAAGCTGCAGCCCCTCAGCCGGGCCCCTGGCATCGCCCCAAAGCTGTACAAACATGCGCTCCTCTTCAGCCTCGTAGTCATTGCCCCGCCAGTGGCGTTCCCTTCCAAATACGGCCAGCCACTTTAACACCTGCTTCAGAGTTGCCGTCGCCGGGTCGTTAGTGGAAGGCACTATCTGGGCTGGGGCTCTCATTCCTCGGTACCAAGACCGCGGATCTTGTGCAGGGAGACTCAGCCTGAAGCCGCCAGGGCGCTGATGGCAATGCATGTAGCTGACCCAGTAGAGTATCTCGCGCGACGAGAACTTGGTGTGGCCTAGTACTGTCAAGCTGGTGAGGTGCTTGAAGCCTTCGAGAGCGCGGAGCGTCCAGGTCGAATTCTCGCCTTTTCGGCAGACAAAGGATAGCGTTTGGAGCTTCGGTACGTGTTTGGCAATATTATCAAGCGCACTGCAGTCCAGAGTGGAATATGTATGCAGCCGCAGATCCCGAAGACACGGCATGGCTGTCACTGCTTTCATGACGAGCTCGCCTCGTTCTTTCGACCTCGAAGTAGGGTTGACGAGGCCTTCTTCAGAGCACTCGGCTAAGAAGAGATACTCGAGCTGCTGCGTTTCGAGTGCTTCATAGAAGTCTTCGTAGCATCCCGTCGAAAAAATGTGTAATCTGCGTAAACGTAAGTAGGGAAGAGCATCAGCAACAGCGGGAATGAGGTCTGGAAAGCGGAAGAGATGGAGGCTGCGAAGAGCCTGGCAAAATTTGAGCCAGTCTGTAACCTTGCTGCGGTTCTCTTCTGCCCATCTTTTGAATCTCAAACGATTTTGAGGCGAGGGCTGGTAGTTGAAGCTGAGGGTCAGTGATGTCAAGTTTGTCAGCTCAAAGAGTCGATACAACTCGAAAGGAGGGCGAACTACGAATTGCAAAGTTAGTTCCTGTAGACAAGTTTGCTGCGCAATTGCTGCCAAAAGCGGCATCTGCGTCTGATTGAGGGAGCAGTCGAGCGAACGCAACTGAGTCGGCGGCAGCTCCGAAACGAAATCTGCAAAGGAAGCAATCTCAGAGTCATCAGCCTGTACCACTGATATCTTCGTCAATATTGGCAGATGCGTCGTGATCAATGCGGCTGCAGATTTGTCCAAGTCATCGAGAAAGACGAGGGAGAGACTTTCCAGCTTCCTAAAGGTATGAATGACTGGCTGGACATTCATCCACCAGTCTGCCGTCAAGCTCTTAAGCATGATGTTTAAGCCTTTTTCTGTGGACATTTGAGCCAGCTTGCGGAGGAGGCGATCTCCAAAGCATCCGATGCTCGGGGTTTCGGCAGTGACATGGTTCGCCGCGACAATGCTTTGATCAGTCGTGGAGCCGGGGTTCTGCTGGGCAGCCTCACGGTTCACAGCAACGAACCGCTGGTCGGGGAACGGTCTGCACCCGTGGACTGAGAGAAAGTTGAGAAGGTTCAGATGGCGTATGTAAAGCAGGTACGGGTGGTAGGTAGCAGGGAAGGCTTCGTTCGCGTCTGGATGCTCCTCGCACACCAACATGTTGGCAGACAGATTCGCCCAAAGGCTTTCTGTAGCCTCTCCGCCCCAATATCTAGGAGGGCAGAATTGCGCACTGGTGCCTGGTTAGTGGACAATTCTTTGATGGGGAGGATAGGCATCATTTATTCTAGGGGTCTTTGCTTACCTGTAGAGGTGTCGAGCCGCTAGCTCAGACAGTTCCTTGTTGAGACGAGTGCAATTCGCCAGAGAACCATGGTCTCCTCTCACAGCAAGCTGCTCGAGGATGATGTCCCAGATGCCAGTGTGAAGGGCTGGCTGAGCAGTCGTTGCTGTCATCGCTGGAGTGCTGGAACTTGCGTTCATGGTTGCGTGAAAGGGGTAGGTAGTGTCTTTGGGCAATGATAGAATGCTTTGTGCAATATGCTTTGAAAATTTTCTTCCACATGGTCGGGCTGAACGTCCTTTTATGTATTTAAATCATGGGGCTTCGTGCGAAGTGAATCGGTGACGATATGTCAAAGTATACCTCAACGCAAAGAAGTGAATGATGAGGTAGACGAGAACAGAATCTCCTCTGTCAGACCTAATAGGAATACTCGAATTGCTGTGAATTGATCAGAAAATGGCTTGCTTCTCTATTTCCGGGTCAACTTCTACGCAGCAATAGTACATATAGTGACCAGTCTAGGAACCCACTATGTTGTAGAATAGTAAGAAGTTGCAAGACGGGCCACGGAAAAGTAGGTCCCAAGATCTCGTCGGTAAGGCACATAATACATATAGGAGTTTGACAAAGAACCGTCTGATCTGCTCTTCAACTTCGACTCGTATGTTTGTTTCGCTTGTATGACGAGAACGTTCCGTAGTCGTTCACTCCGTGCCTCTGGGCCTCTGCTGGTCGTTTCGCTATACGACCAGCCGTCTTGTCGAGGTCATCTAGACTGAAACTTTGAAGTGGAAAATAAGCCGAGTGTCATCTGGCCCGGACACTCTGAAAGGAGTCTCAAAGAGCGCACTTCCCTGCCAAACGGCTGATTTCCCCATACGTTGCAGCTCTTTGAAGATTCGATGGCACGAGGTATCAAAGAGAAGAATAAAATTGTGCTAACACTTGGAAACGGGTAGAAGGTAACTACACATAGTGATGGTAGCCAATACGACCTTGACCACAACGTAGTATCCCATTATCCCATCCACTGCCAGAAGGCGTCAGCACCTCCGCAACCAGTATTTCTCTAATTTACCTACTATCTCGAAGTTATTTATAGGCAGATATAAGGAAATTGCTGCTAAGTAAATAGGTGATTCATTATCACCCATCATAAGTGTTAAATATATATGTGTACCTTAACGCTATCTAACAATTGTTATGATGTAGGTGGAACGCCAATAAAGATTCAACCTCCATTGTCGAAGGATAAGAGGGCAGGTGAGCTCATAAGAAACGTAGGAACTCAAGATGTAAGAGAATCTGCTAAGCTTAGGGGCTCTTCAGTATATTTATTCGGATGCAATCCGTACTTACTAAGCTTTGTTACCGTATTCTTCACAAAAGGTTTGCGGCACACCGCAGATGACATGTCGCAAACAGAAGCCTGCCAGGTAGGTCCTTCTCATTCTCAGCGTGGAGAGTAGCTTGGGTTGAAGATGGCTTCCGATTTCATCTTCCACACATCATTGTGCCATTTCAATGGAGAACAGAAATACGCTAAACCAGCCTGTACAGTTGAAAAGAAGGCATACAAATCACAACAGCAGACTGCCTTCATTTTTTCTAAATCGATACTCACCGCCCTCGAGACATGGTGAGAGAGATGATCGGAGACACCCGCAACAAGGTTCCATCGGGCCCAAAAGTTCAAACCACGAAAATGCCATGTGAATCAAACAAAAGCCCCTCTGCCTGTCCACCGAGATTTACGATCCAATGAGATGTGAACCATGACCAACGGCAGCTAGTTGATCCTAACCACGTTCGGTATTCCGAGCATGAGGAGGGGGGGAGTATAAGCGATATGAGTGTGTGTCCCCTAACCTTTCCCCGCAGATGCTCGCCCACATGATCCAGTCTAAGCCAACGACAAGCAGTCCAGCTGACAGCGCGGGCGAGATCCCTTGGAGGGCCTTGGAGGGAAGGCTTGTGTGAGGCTCAGCCCAGACCGCATCGCGGGACCAATCCCTTTACTCGCAAAAGTTATCCAATATGTCTGTCCGAATCAAGCTTGCCAGTATCTAAGGTTCTGGGGGTGAGATGGCACCTGTGACCACGGGATGACAAGGCGGGCGTGATGTCACAGCACATGCCCGGAATGGTGGGGTCCCCTGGGGGAGGAGCCACCCAACCAGTCACATCTCTCAAAGTTACTCCAAACGGTCCCCCAAAGCTCCAAATGAACGCGTCGGGATTGGTAGGATTGGTAGGAGACGGTGAAGCCCTGCAACGAAAGAATGAGACCGTGACCCATTTCCCAAAGTGGACGAGAGTCAGACACCACTGAAGCTATCCCCCAAGGTCATCAAGGTCGTCAAGGTTATCGACGGGGTGTTATCGTGCTGCAGGGCACGGAACTTGGAAGCCATAGTGGAGGGGCTGCCTGTCCTGGCTCGGTTCCGTCATCTGAAAAAGGATCCCAGCCCAGCCCCCCGTCACTTACCTCAGGTACCTGACCTTATCAACCTGGGCAAGAGTCAGCTTCCAAACCATCCCAGCTTCACCTGCGACAGGAACTGAAGCGACGCGAAATCCCTTCCCTGCTTGCGTTTGCCACGCAATAGAGGACCTACACAGTAGAGACGTTTCCAAGATGGTAAGCACAAAACAAAACTTTACCCCAAACTCACATCTATCAAACAAAAGACACCTCGCGGTCGCAAAACCAACCACCTTGGAGCTTAAATCGCAAACTGGGGGTTAAACATCATGGCTAATACCGCAAACACGCAGTCTTCCGAACGGACGCCCCTGATTAACGACCGCCGCGAAGGCGACGACAGCGACGACTCCTCCCGGACGCCCCCAGGCCCTTCGCGCCTCCGCGAAATCGTCCTCTTCGCCTGGGCCCTCCTCGCCACGGCAGCGCTCATCGTCCTCGCAGTATGGACCCAGCACCGGAGCTCGACAAAGTTCCCCAGGCCCACTGAGGGCAAGCGCAACCTCATCTTCATGGTCTCGGACGGCATGGGCCCGGCCTCGCTCTCTCTGACGCGTAGCTTCCGCCAGCACGTCGAGGGCCTCCCTGAAGACGACGTCCTCACCCTCGACAGGCACTTCTGGGGCTCCTCCCGCACCCGCTCCTCAAACTCCCTCGTCACCGACAGCGCCGCCGGCGCCACCGCCTTCTCCTGCGGGAAAAAGAGCTACAACGGCGCAATCTCCGTCCTCCCCGACTACGAGCCCTGCGGCACCGTCCTCGAGGCCGCCAAGCGCGCCGGCTTCATGACCGGCCTCGTCGTCACCACCGACATCACGGACGCCACACCCGCCTGCTTCGCCAGCCACGTCCTCACCCGTGCCATGAACGACGACATCGCCCTCCAGGAGGTCGGCGACGGTCCCCTCGGCCGCGTCGTCGACATCATGCTCGGTGGTGGCCGCTGCCACTTCCTCCCCAACGGCACCGACGGCAGCTGCAGACTCGACAACACCGACGTCGTCAAGAAGGCCCAGGACGAGTTCGGCTGGACCTACGCTGGCGACCGCGCGGGCTTTGACGCCCTCGAGGGCGGCGAAAAGGTCTCGTTCCCCCAGCTCGGTCTTTTCGCCCACTACGATATCCCCTTTGAGATCGACCGCCGCAACATGAGCGACGTCTACCCGAGCCTGAGCGAGATGGCCGCTACGGCACTGCGCGCCCTCGAAAAGGCCACGGAGAACAGCGACAAGGGCTTCTTCCTCATGATCGAGGGCAGCAGGATCGACCACGCCGGCCACATCAACGACCCTGCCGCCCAGGTCCGGGAGGTCCTCGAGTACGACAAGGCTTTCAAGCTCGTCTCCGACTTTGTCAAGGACAGCAAGACCGAGTCCCTCTTGGTGGCCACCAGCGATCACGAGACCGGTGGCCTCGCTACTGCTTTGCGTAAGATTCTAATTCTTGTTTTCGTCCTCATCAAAAAGCATGTCTGCAGCCAGCTAACTACGTGATCAACAGAGGAGCCCGGACACCTCCCCGTCTACAACTGGTACCCCAAGGCCCTCGCAAAGGCCTCCGCCTCCGCCGAGCTTCTCTCCAAAAAGTTCCTGCAAAAAGTCGCCTCCACCAGCGGCAAGACCTTGAACAAGGAGGAGCTCAAGCAATGGGTCAACAAGGAGCTCGTCGTCCCCGGCCTCGGCATCGACAACGCCCACCCGGAGGAGCTCCAGGCTCTCGTCGACCACCCCGAGGTCTCGGTCCAGACCTTCGCCGCCATGATCAGCCTCCGCGCCCACGTCGGCTGGAGCACCCATGGCCACACGGCGCTTGACGTCAACGTCTACAGCACCGGCGGAGACGAGGCCCAGAAGATCCGCGGCAACGTTGAGAACACGGACGTGGGCAAGTTCCTCCGCGGGTACCTCAAGGTCGACGTCGACGCCATCACCGAGGAGTTGAAGGAGAAGATGAACAAGAAGCAGCTCGGCGCCATGAACCTCCAGCAGCAGCAGATAGCGGCCCTGGCTGAGGACCCCAGCACCTGGAGCCAACCCCAGGGCTTGGAGTACGCCCACCTGGTAAAGGCAGGAGCTGCATAAGTTGAGCTTTCTTAGCATTGGGAGGTGGCAGACCAGAGTCATGAAGTAGAGGGGCAGGACATGGGGCATGTGGCATTACTGGAGTTAACGGAGGAATTGATTTTTTTTTGAGCATAGGGGCATGATGTCCCCATTTGCTGGAACATGACCTAATCATAGCAACAAACGCGCGGCTATAGAGCAATGTATACATATCACATGAATCGAGATATTGAAGTCAATTGTTTGTTCGGGGCAACGTGTGTCCCTCACCGCAACCCGCAAGCACGGCGACATCCATACACGTCGCGAGCCATGGCCACAACATGGCTTAAACTCAACGGCGAATGCATGAGGGCACAATCACGTTCCGTACAAGACTTGTCAGCTCCAAAATTATCTACTACCCTGCATCAGACTCTTCGGGTGCATTGCCCGGGGTCAAGTTCAGCCCTGTGAGGACGAGTGAACAAAGACTGATGGCCTGACTCCTACCACCGCACTCGGATCATTTGCGGCAGGTAGATTGCATGAGTGATGTTGTCTCGAAGCTCTTGATTCCCCTCTCTCACCTGAGCTGCGTGCATCCAGCCACCGGAGCATGATTGGAGGGGCCGCCGTTTCGGCGGTTGGCTCGCTCGTTCTGGGACATCAAAGAGACTCTGACAGCTTTGCAGCTAGCCGCAAAATCCCGTAAGGAAAATGGGAACCACGCGGAGGCGGCCATATTCGCCTAATTATGAAGATTTGGATATGTGATGTAATTTGTTGCTGGCGCAGTAAATGTGATGAACCATGCTTGCTTGGCCCTCGGTAGCACGATCTCATCAGTCTGGACCAGCCGCTCTCGTCCATTTGACTTGACCCCTGCCATCAAACTGGGAGGGGCTTTGCGTATGTTTGTTTGTCAATCGTACTAGCCGAATGCGAGATGCGAAGGTGAGAAGGGCCACGGCCGCCACGCCGCTGGCTGCTGTTGGTGGAGAGGAGGGTGAGGGAGAGAAGAGAGAAGACCGTTAGTTGTGGTGGGTTCCCTGGCACCCTGGGTACACGATCCATGGTTACCATTGTTTCCGGATCTCCACTGCATTGGCAAAGCAAGGGCCAGAGTTGAATGATACAGCCTTGATGCAGAGCCTCTTTTCTTCGGCCGTATGCCAGATAGGCAAATGCCTGCCTGTGCGCTTGATGATGTGACGAAGTGCACGGCAGGTAATAGTGGAGCAAGAAAATCTAAAGCTCTGCAAGGTGGCATCCTACATCGAGTCTCGATTCCAAAAGATTCCGGAGTTTCCTCCTTGTTGCGGACGGAGGGCTGCATTGAACGTCGCCTTGCCATGCAATTTGGCTCCGCCAGTCGTTGGCGATTTCAGCAGCTCCGCATTTCTTTGGCCGGCCTTACGGCCATTGTTATCGACAATGGGCGGG